CTTCCTTCTAGCTGTCCTCGTCTGCTCCGTCTAGCTTCTCGTATGTCGTCTCTCTTCTAGCTTCTCTCTTCTCGTCTCTCTCGTCTCTCTCTCTCTCTCTCTCTCTCTCTCTCTCTCTCTCTCTCTCTCTCGTCTGTCTGTCTGTCTGATGCGCGCCTGGGACTGCTAGCTCTTCGGGCTCGGTCATCGTGAAGACCTTCGTGTACCGAACGTACTGTTGTGTAAAAGGAGCAAAACAGCATCATCTATACACTATTTTCTGTATATCGCCTCAATATGAAAACTCCATGATATACTATACTAGTACAGTGCACGCAACAAGATCCATGTATCTCATTCTCACATTGCATCTGGCTCCATCTCCAATTTTCGCTACCTTGTTATCTCTCCCTCCAAGTCACGCTGTCCCCAAATCTGACCTCAAACTCGACCGCACCAAACACACCGATGGCGGGGTATAGGTCGCCTTCACCCATCAGGCCGTCGACGCCTTCATCACGCTCGTCGCGTTCTTCGTCGATATCCCAGCCCCACCGCTCGTCGGCCTTGCCGTCTCTGGTGACAAAGGCTCGCGTCTTGACCTTGGCCGTCCTCGTTCCCCTTGCGTGGCTATCCACGGCAGCTTGTGTGGAGAAATGCATGCCCACGCCCACGACTTCACCCTCCTTGAATGCTTGGACAAAATCCCGCCCGCCCCACGAGTCGTTCACGAATCTTCGCCCGTCATCTCCATGTACGCCGATGCTTGCGCGGTGCCATCCAGGCAAACGCCATGGTGGATAGGGTTTGGCAGCGAACCCTATGGCAATACCCGAGTTTTCATTGACGATACGGCGGATGGCGATTTCAAAGTAAATCGTCTTGGACTGCGATGTAAGTAGCGGGTTGTCCATGCAGGCAAAGTACAATGGAATCGATGCCAGGAAGATGGCGTCCTGCTGGTGTTTGCCCGTCACCACCTTCCATGTCGTTGGACTTGTCTGCCGGAACGTCGTTACATGCTTCCTCAACTGCAATGGCGGAGGTTCAAGAGTGATGTGCCCTGCATTAGCCAGAAGGTGGATCTCGTGGCTAGGCGTGCTCGGTGTATACACAGGGTGTTTTGCACACCACTCATGGCCCCGGGCCGCAGAGTCGTATGAGGCGTTATTCGCCGGCGAGTAGTCCTGCGGTAGCGGCGGAGGTGGTGGGAGAAGTGACGTGTCCGGAATCACGGTCCAGTCATGATATGGTGGTGGATTGTCGAGCTCCGGGTTCTGTTGGTGTGAAGGGGGTGGACCCGGCGGAGGGGAGAATTCTTCATGGTGTAAGCTTGCAGAGGCGGCGCGGTGTGACGGGGGTGGACCCGAAGGAGGCTCAAAGATCTCCCCAGTCCCCTGTCCGCCTTTGTGTTGTGATGGAGGTGGCCCTGGCGGAGGAGCATAATGTTCTTCATCTGGGTCATGCGTTCGGTTCCATCTTGGTTGATGACCCGGCTGATCACTTCCAGAAGGGTCGTCTGTTCCGACGTCGATTTTGCCCTTGAGGGACTTGAAGAGGCCCATGACAGGCCGGGTGGAGGCAAATAGCAATGGTTGTCAGTAGGCAGGGGGAATAAGCGATGCGTTCACAACACGAGACTGTAGGAGCCTTGAGCCCGCTCGTTCTTGTCCGGGGTCAGACAACCCCAACTTTCACTTAGCTTCTTCTGAAAAGAACCTGACCAAGTAACAGTCCGATCTCGAAGTATATGGCGCTAACACGATCAAAGTCGCCAAGGTCCGCTAGATTGTAACGGGGTGGTAGAGTCACACTGATTGATCGAAGATGCCGCACCAGGTACGGTCCTTTTTGCTTTGCTCTTAGTGTTGCAACAAACCATGTAGTACACGACGGCTGCAGGCGTAGTCGCACTCAAGAAAGAAAAAAAAACTGTGGTCCACGAGTCAAGCCACCCACCCTGTCAAAGGGAATGAGAGTCTGGGTCGGTGCAAGCCCAAACCGAGTCAAAGCAGTAGTGAGGACGTTGGTCGAAACTGAATGGACCTATACCGATACAGGTTTCTGCGCCGTGCCGGTCTTTTCCCACCCTCCCACTCTGCAAGGATGGTGTGCGTCTAGCGCACAGAGAGGTTGGGGTGTCCTTGAGAAATGGAACCGAGACTGAAGAGCAGACGAGAAGAAAGGATAGGATGGCAGTAATGGCGGGATTAGGTTCGAGGCACGAAGGTTCGAAACGTTGAGATAGTTTTTTGTTAGTTTCGTTGCTGGTCTGATAGGTGGAGTGGCTAGGTAGGTCGGCTGGTAGGCAGGTAGGCACGGTTCTGAAGCCTTGTTTTGACTGAGTAAGAGATTGAAACTCGTGTTCACAGAGGGCCTTGAACTTGACGCCAGGCAGGATTTGACAGACGAAGGGGAAGGGCTTGTCGTCGTTGCAGCTGAGGGACTAGCCAAAATGACTCGAGTTGTCTCCGAAATTCTTTTGGTGGTGTCGTTTCCTCGCTTGGTAAGTGAACTTGGTCCAAGCGCAGTCGAACGCACAATGCAGGTTTGGCGTTTTTAGGGGTGGGCTAGGTCGACTGGGTCGGGTCTTCTACGTGATGAGAGGCTCGAGGTCGAAATCTTGATGAGGGTGGGCGACTTGACTCCAATCCCTTGATCCCAGGACGGCAGACGGATAGACGGAGGGAATCTGGGACGAGGATTTGACGTGATGGTCGAGCGTGGTGGACTAAAGGCGGGGTAGTTGGTAGTTCAATGAGACGCGTGAGGCGCAGCAGCGCTTGCAGAGGAGGAGAGCGAGAGGGAGAAAGCGTTGGCATGTGATGAGGGTCCTCCAATTACAGGCCACAAATTGCTAGTGACACTGGACACCAGCAATGTATCTCGTAAGCCACCAATAGTGCTTAAACTCTTGGCCCTTATCGCCTCTTCGGTGGCCCTTCGGTCCTGGGCACTCAGGCACTTTAGGCTTCCGGGCACCTACATGCTACCTATCAGTCGCCACTGAACATACCTTTGACCCCGTTGGCACTGACTTTTGGCTACTTATACGAGTAGTTAGTTAAGCCGAAATCATCCTCCCTCTGTCTCTGAGCATGTGATATCCTGCACACATACACACCCACACCACTCAAGTAGTTCCCGTCTATCGATTATCACGCAGACGCGTTTCAAGTCTTCCTCTATTCCGTCCCTTCCGACATCTCATTTTCCATCCGTCCTCCTTCGAACCTTCATCCACTGGCAGGTCTCTGTGGCCACTGGTCAAGCGTCACTGGGCTACCTGTCAAGGTGAAGTTCACCGTCGCCTGAGTCGGGACATCCACCAGCAATCCATAGTCACCGGGGTACAGGATTTCATTGCCATTCTCATCCCGTCGCGACAGACTGCCTAGCGTCAAGTTCAGTGTCGCCGTCTGCGAGGAGCCCCCTGTGATGTTGAACAGTCTTTGGTACGCAACAAGCTCCTTGATGGGATGTGGCGCGGGTCCATTCTGGCCACTGATGAATCCCAACGTCACAAAGTCTGACGCGACTTTGCCCGTGTTGGTGACGTTGACCTTGAAGCTGCTAAAGGGACACAGGTCGAGGTACTTGTGCGTCGAGCGATCGCAGCCCGACACGAGCTGGGAGATATTGAAACTTGACTGCTGAGGTTGAGCCACTGATAGACTGAAGTTGGTGTAGTGTAGACCGTATCCGAACGGAAGAACAGCATCACTGAACCATTTATATGTTCTTCCCGGATTGCCAGACGAGGCGTTGGGTCTTAGGTTCATGTCGGTCATGGCGACCTGTTCAACATAGTTGGCAGGGTATTGTGTGACAGGAAGTCTTCCTGCTGGCGCCACCTTGCCCGTGACAATGTTGATGAGAGCATCACCTCCAGCCATGCCTGGGTAGCCACCCCACACGATGGCCGAGACGTTAGGGTTGTTCAAGAAGGGAGTGTCGTCGAGCTGGTCACCCATCTGAAGCAAGATGACAGGTTTGCCCATGGCCGCGACCTGATTGATCAGATCGACCCTCCCCGGAGCCCAGCTGATGTCGTATCGATCCAGACTCTCGCTCTCGTCGTCGTCGTTGATGCCGTCTGCGATGATCACGATGTCGCCTTCTTCCGCCGCCGACATAAGGTCATCCCAGTTGTCTGTGGTAGGGAAGTTGATGTTGTTCAGGGTGCTGGAGTATTTGACATTGACGTGCGGCAATTGCTGCAAAGCATAGAGAGGTGCATGAAGGAATCTTGCCTGGCCAAAGTAGTTCCCTTGCAACTGCGTCGTCACATTGGCCCATTCGCCAAATAGAGTGATGGTGGTGTTTCTGTTTGTCGGCAAGGACAAGGGCAGTGTGCCATCATTCTTCAGAAGCACAATGCCTTCCTCAGCGGCCTTCAATGCGAGAGCTTCGGATGCCGGGGTCGACACATTCTGCCAGCCGAGGGAGCGATACGGCGTGGCAGATGCAGGATCAAAATACCCCAGGCGTATCAAGGACGAATAAAGACGGATGAGGGTCTGATCGAGCACACTTTCGTTGAACAGTCCCCGTTCAAAAGCGCCAGGCAGATGTGTCTGATAGTATGTGCCCTGAGACAAACATCAGCGTTTACTCAGCGTGTCATGGTTGGACAAGTCGACTTACACAGTTGAGATCGGTCCCTGCTTTTAGGGCGTCGGCGACAGCTTGCTCTCGAGATGTCGTGTAATCATGGGGCGAATAGATATTTTGAATGGCGTCGCAGTCAGAGGTCACATACTGGCCCTCGCCCGTCCAGTTCCAGTGTTCCCTCAAGATGGTCTGGAGAATGTACGGGTCGGCACAGGTTGGCACGCCATTCAAGGCATTGTAGGAACACATGATTGAGCTATAGTTTGTCAGTGATGTTGCTCACAAGGCCGAGTGCTGATACATGTCACTCACCCAACATTGGAGTCTCTGGCACAGGTCTGGAACGGTTGCATGTAGTATTCAGCAAGGTCTTGGGTGGTGACTTGGGCATCAAAGTTGTATCGGTCTGTTGTCACCCAGTTCTCCAGGTCGTAGGCTACAAAATGCTTGCAGGTAGCGATGACCTTTTTGATGGCTGGATCATGACCACCTTGAAGACCGTCGATCAGGGAAGCAACATAGGACTTGAGATGGAAAGGATCTTCTCCCGGAGTCTCCTGTCCGCGGCCCCAACGTGGATCTCTGCCACATGATAGGTTCGACATCAGCTTCAGGTCACTTGTGTGTGTGTAGAGACTCGAATAGCAAAGCCAACTGACTCACTTGTACGGGTTGATGTTGGGTGTCCAATAGTCCAGTCCGCTCCGGTTGGCATTGTTGAAGGCGCGTGCTTCGGTACTGATAACAGTCGCAACAGCATGAATCAACGCATCGTCAAAGGCCGCCGACATCAGAATCGGTTGCGGGAAGGAGGTGGCATAAGAGAACTCTCCATTTGGGCTGAATGTCACACCTGGGGAGCTTGCCACGCCGTGCAGTGCTTCCTCTGATATCTGATGAGCACAACGAGCAAAGCCTCTTGGGGGTTTGGGTTGAACTCACGCCACCATTGGTAGCTATGGATCCCCAAACGTGGCACTCCTGGAGAAGTGTTGCCTGTCAGGTTGAACTTCTCGTCGAGATCCATGGCTCCAATGAGCGCCCTGGCTCGGTCTGCCACCGAGGCAGATGTATCACAGACAGTATTGTTTGCAAGAGGTCCATGGACACAATCTGGGAACAAATCTGCTGCCGCCGGCACAGCAAGCAGCGCGAGGAGCCCAAGCACAGTAGCTGCCATGGTTCCGATGCTCTTTGCACTGAAGATTTGCAATACACGCTTTCACGGCGGATAAATTGAAGAGAGGGAAAATTCGACCTTGACCGTCTCCATCCTCTGTTTATCAAGGGCAATTGCATTCACCTACCTGGTACCTACTGACAACGGGCCCCCTCTCCATTATCCGCAAGTTCCGTCGAGTCCTCAATGAGGAATTAGCCATCGTCGAGAATTCATCCTTTCACAAGAGCGGTCTTGCAGCGACGATCATTTCAGTATTCAATTGCCGGCGGTAAACAACCGGGAGGACATGAGTCGTGACCGATGGCGATGACTGCACAGACAAAGTACCTCTGTGCACTCGGTCAAATGCCTTGACGTTCGATGAGCCACAGAAATATGCACCGCTAAGCATTTTGTGGCGTGGATTTGAGTTGTAAAGGGCTGAAGGCCGGTGGCGGGGGAAACACGGGCATGACGGCGATCATTCCTAGCTTCAGGTATCGTCGGATATATCGTCACCAGCTTCTGCGCCTCGGTGATTTCCCTCTAGACCTGTGTTACTTTTTCAGTTTCTTCCCGGCCATGGTTGAGTTTTGGATAAAAGGGCAAAGACAATCAGACCGGGAGATGGGGAGGGGAAGAACGAAACGACTTCCCCATCACTCATCAAGTCGTCATGTCGGTTAATTAGGCTAATAGGCCTGCCCGCTGTGACTGTGGAGGTGGAGGACCAGCATTTCATTCTGTGGAGATGCTTTAGTCTGGGACTCTGGAGCCGTCTCTTGCCTCTCGTGATGCTTTGCCGATGCTTGGTGCTTGATGCATGCCACCACTACTTGCCGTCAGCTCAAGGTTTGGCCTCGACGTTCCATGGAACATTCGACGGGCGAGTGGATGGCTTTTATCCAGACATCCAGACGAGTCTCGTTCACCAATAGCAGCAGGTCAGACCCTCCAGTCCAGAATAATGGGAAAGAAAATGCTGGTCTGACATCTGAGTTCTAGGAGGAGGTCAGTGCTTCCTGGAGCCTCTATTGCGACGGGTACGAGGTTGCATTCGCAAATCGAGCGCTGTCAGACACATCCGGAGCCTGGTGATTGCGATGGCGTTTTAGAAACGGACGCTAGCTGCCGATCCTTAAAGGACAATTCCTTGATTTGGCCTTGGTTGGTGCTTTAGCCCCAGCCGTGTGATGCTTCGCTGCGCTTTCTCCCGATTGCACGTCAGCTAGCCAGGAGTGCCAGGATATCTCACCCACTCTCCAATGGAAGAGACCATCAGGACGCATGATCGAGGTGGATGTGACATGGTCCATGTGTGTCCATGTGTGTTCTCCAGGATCTGGAATTAGCCTGAAGACGGAAGACGGCACACCACCAGCACCACAGGCCACCCCAAGGTCATCAGCTGTCGAACGATATACAATATCCCCAAGACACCGCCCTTGGGTCGTGGTCCTGTCTCCAGTTCTCCAGTTCTCCAGTTTACCAACTCTCCCAAGAGACAGAGATTTGTTGCTGTTGACCTGGTCACTACAGTCGCAACCATGGTTCACTCCGCGGGCAAGACGTCCCAATTCACCGATGCTGCTCTCCAACAGCGTATGCAGCTGGCCGGCAAGGCTGGCCCGCAGGCGCTGGTCAGGAACCTCCGTGTCTTCCTGATTGCCTGCTTTGCTTGCATTGGTGGTCTTCTTTATGGTTACAACCAAGGTGTCTTCAGTGGTGTCTTGTAAGTCGCTTGTCGCTCTTGTTTCTTCGTGGAGAGAAGTCTCATGAATTGTTTGCCCCGTTTCCTGCGGTGGTGAGTGCACTGGCGATGGGATCAAGTGGCTAACAGTCACAACAGGACCATGAACTCCTTCAATAGACACATGGGTGATTACACGACCGACCAGTCGAAGAAAGGCTGGCTCACCTCCATCCTTGAGTTGGGTGCCTGGACAGGCACTCTCTACTCTGGCTTCCTCGCCGAGATCATCTCCAGGAAATATGCCATCTTGGTCAACACCTGCATTTTCATCCTTGGTGTCATCGTGCAGTGCACCGCTGTCCAGGCTGGTCACTCGGCAATCCTAGGAGGCCGTTTCGTTGTGGGAATGGGCGTGGGCTCACTCTCGATGATCGTTCCAATGTATGTCGCCGAGTGCTCGCCTCCTGAGCTTCGAGGATTGCTCATTGGAGTGCAACAATTCGCCATCGAGTTTGGCATTATGGTCAGCTTCTGGATTGTAAGTATATCGATTATTCTGGTCACGTGACACACTTCGCGATACCTTCTCTGTTCAGGTGGCTGCTCCACTTTGCACACCGCCCCGCCCCAGCTCCCCAGCTCCCCACCCTCTCTCCCTCTCTGTTTGTCTAGCCAGAGACAGCCCTACACAATCCAGATACCACCAAGGCATTTGAGAGTCAATACGACTCTGTGGCCCAGTGTGGTCTGGCTCTCTTTGTTGCTTGTTCGCCTTCTCTCAACCCTAACATCGATGGACCCCAACAGCCTTGCGTTTTAACTGACTCCTTTCCTAGGACTATGGTACCAACTATATCGGAGGAACTGGCGATGGCCAGTCTGAGGCGGCCTGGCTCGTGCCCCTTGCCCTTCAACTTTTCCCTGCCCTCGTCTTGCTTGTCGGAATGGTCTGGATGCCGTTTACTCCTCGATGGCTGGTCCACCATGGACGCGAAGAGGAAGCTCGTCGGACACTGGCCACTTTGAGATCGCTCCCTATCGATCATCAACTGATTGACTTGGAGTTCCTCGAGATCAAGGCTCAGTCGATGTTCGAGAAGCGGACTGTCGAGGCAAACTTCCCTCATCTGGCAGAAATGACGGCAACCAACACCATCAAGTTGCAGTTTGTTGCAATCGGGTCGCTATTCAAGACAATGCCCATGTTCCGCCGCGTTATTGTCGCGACAGTGACCATGTTCTTCCAACAATGGACTGGTATCAACGCCGTGCTTTACTATGCTCCTCAGGTGGGTGACACTGATGCCGATCTAGAGGCTTGCAATGTACTGACAGACCCCCTAGATCTTCGGCTCTCTTGGTCTGTCATCAAACACTACATCACTGCTCGCAACCGGTGTGGTCGGTATTGCCATGTTGTTGGCAACTATCCCATCCATCCTTTACATCGACCGCATTGGAAGAAGACCTGCCCTGGCTCTGGGTGCCCTTGGAATGGGTCTGTGCCACTTCATCATCGCCGTCATCTTTGCGAAGAATCAGCACCAATGGCCCACTCACCATGCTGCTGGTTGGGCTGCTATTGTCATGGTGTGGCTCTTCGTCATCCACTTCGGTTGGTCCTGGGGTCCTTGGTAAGTGCAACCACAATTATATTTCCTGCGCAGAAGATAACAAGGAATGCAGTGCTTGGATCGTTGTCGCTGAGGTCTGGCCTCTGTCTGCGCGCCCCTACGGTATCGCCCTTGGAGCATCCTCGAACTGGATGAACAACTTTATTGTCGGCCAAGTCACTCCCGACATGATCACTGGCATCACATACGGGACCTTTATTCTCTTTGGCTTGTTGATCACCCTGGGAGCTGGATTTATCTGGTTTTTCGGTAAGAGACTCCACAACCTAACCCCCCTACACAAGTACTGACCCATCCGGCAGTCCCTGAAACCAAGCAACTCAGTCTTGAGGAGATGGATCTGGTATTCGGCTCCAGCGGTGTCGCCGCTGCAGACCAGGAGCGCATGGCCCAGATCAACGCCGAGATTGGTCTCACTCGTCGCCTCAGCGCCCTCCAAGGAATCGACCACAGCAGTGACGAGAAGGTCTCCGAGGTCCGGGAAAAGACGGCCGAGACAAAGGTTGTGTGAACGTCCGCAGCTTGAGGCTTGAGATGGACAAGTCACCTCTGCTATTGAGAGAGTCGCAGGGTCCTCAGACTGTGGTTTGGTTGACAGACTTTATGATTCCAGTAGACAAGTCTCATAAAGTGGTGACGCAGTTGAATTTATCCCTCTGGCATGACTCTTTATGAAGAACGAGCGTAACGAAGTAGTCGGCGTCACCAAGTAACCCGTCCCAAATATAGTCAGTCTTCAGGGACGACAGTCTCAGATGTCGCGGAGAATATATTCCTAACGAAGTCCTGACTCGCACCTTGAGGCATCGCTAGCTGATTGGTCGGGACTATGTTATGCCGTACTCATCGATCCCTAAGAAGGTACTAACTTATCACATACTAGACCAGTCTCTTATATGTGGAAATACCAATCTATAAGTGAACTAGCGCCTGTCATAATAGGTATAGCAGTTAATTAGTAATGTCTAGGGTCGGGACTAGAGACTCTACTTGTAATGTAGGCTCAATGCCTGGGACTGGGACTACTTAGTTAGACAAGACTAGTTGGCAAGATTGGAGGTAGGTAATGTTGGTATCCTTGTGTTGTGAGGTCTGTACGAGGTAGGTTTCCAAATAATCTATCCGTCCCACACCGTTTGGTATGTTGCTCGGTCTCGGACGCCCCCTGGGGGAAAAAGGAGGGTTGTGTTCACATGGCGTCAAGATCTGGCGGTTGGTGTTGGGTAACTGAGATTCCCACACTCTCCGGGATTTGTGTCGACAAGGAAAGCTCAATCTGCCTCTTGGTCCTGCCGTGCACAACTTGTATTCGTCTTTGAGCTCCATCTTTCTCCATGGCCAGTAGTCTTTCCACGAATGCTGCCAACATATCACTGTCACAGATCCCTTCTCGCCTTTTGATCGTCTTCAGCAAGAACAGAGACCTCTGTCGAAGCTCTGGTTCCCGGCACCTCGTTGCTGCCATGTAGAGATGCGGAACAATCCCAAGGTTCATGGAAATGACAGGCTCAGAACGACTGTGAGAGTCATCTTGGCAGGCGGTTTCAAGACGTTTAGCTGACCTTCTCGGCCTAGAGTCTTGCAGCATTCTTTGCACGATCTCCTCTGCAGTAGCGAGTAACTCCCTAAATTTCTCCGTGCATAGATCAAAGACCGTCTCATTGCATTCCATGCATGAACTTAAGGTGATGTCAAGAGCAATGCTCGAGGCTTTGAGGGTGAGTGCGGCAAGGTCGTGGCTTCGTTTCCGTTGTAGCATGCGCTGAAAGGCGACTCCCCAGTCGTTGAAGTGCTGTCGAAGGACCTGATATCTTTCCTCGAGGCTCTGAAAATACAAGGTGGGTGAATCACACTCTATTTTTGCCACTTGGACATTGCGTGCCAAATGCGATATCTGATAGCGATACATTTCGAAAGACGACCGGGCGTCGTCCACATCGGTGAAAGTGGCGGGGACTGGAGTGACTGAGGTTATCGCAAAGGCAGGAGGAGCTTGGAATCCATCCCTCCCAAACTCCATGACCTGGGTGTCTAGTCTCAGGTACATTTGGACCAAGAGATGCCTCGGCAGGTAATGTTCTGGGGTGTTCTCAGAACGACGGGCAAGCTCTGCTAATATTCTCATGCCCGAGTATATGTGACTCAGTGAAGAGGCAAAGTGTGTTCGAAGAATCTCAATGCAGGCGAAGAGGACTGACACGGTCAGCGCAACATCAACTGCCCGTGCGGATTTGCTTGTATCAAGCTTGACCACATGTTGCATCGCTCTGCCGTAGTGCTGCATGGCAAATGCAAGCAGAGTGGAGTCCGAGGGTGGTGAAGGGCACAGGAACAATTCATGTAGACCACCAATAGATATGACCGCGTGCTTGATGGCGTCCTCATGATGCGCCGTGGTCAGTGCAAATCGAGACCACAACTCAGGACGGAAGTATCCTGCCAATTCACCAGCGGTTCGATTCCGAAAAAAGTTGAACGATCTCTTTTCTCTCCAGTCCATGTCCGGAAGGGAAGTCATCGTGAAGAGGGGGTCCGGGACATAAACAACAAAAGCCTGGCCCTTCCTGCTCGGCTTGGTGTTCTTCGCTTGGTCGACATATCCCTTGCATTCTCTCTTGCTTCGGATGCATCTCTGGCAACTGGGACGCTCTTCGTCACACTTCAGGTGACGAGCCCTAAAAACGGTCAAGGTTCGTTGTCTATGCAAAATCGCGAGATAGCATGACATACTTGCACGTAACACAACCACTGCGAACTTTGCTCCCTCCAATTCTAGCCAATTTCGGTGCAGTCATAGCGACAGACTGATTCGATACCCCTGATAACGCCGAAACCTAACTGCAAGGCTGTGTAAATCTAATGATGGACGAGTACGTGGCAGATGCGCGCCAGATATGAGGACGGACTGCCCGTTGCTTGAGCCATCCGCCGGAACATCAAAGTGCTTCTTATATTGTCAGATGATAACGGCGTGGCCCGTGGCTCGAGGCTACCCTCCTTTTGGGCCACATTGTGTGCCTTGGGCATCTTGTCCCCTGGCTCTATACCAACCATTCTCAGCCTCACCGTGTCGGTGTATCGTCCGGCGATCCAGGTGTTGTCAACTCCGATCAAAATTCCATAGGTACTATGGTGGGCAGCGCAATTGATGAAGGAGAGTGTACCATATGTCGTTTGGCTGCATTAACTTGATTCGGTTGGTCTGTTACGAGTCAACCTCCAGCCTTGAACGGGGAAGACGGCATCTGTGATGGACAATGCGCCCAAGCATTGACAATGGCTATCGCTTGTTAGTAAGTCTCCCAGAAAGGGAATATTTGGTCGAGGTCTCACACCTGTTCCACTCAACGTACGCGTCCAGCCTCAAAGGTCGCTTCCCTGACCTCCACGACGCCACTAATGGTGGCACGGGCGAGCCTTGCCCCGACATGTCTTGGTTTGAGGAGCAACTAGCGAGGGTGATGCAGCGATAGGACCGGATGGCGGGTTGACGGGTTCAAGATGGTTCCGTACGTAGAGTGTTGAAGGTTAAAAGATAGAGCGATGCCTCTCGAAGCGAAATCCCAAAATAAGGATGAAATGTGGGGGACGCAGTTTGTCCATCGATGAAAAAGGCTTGGGCCAGATCGGATGACCACCAAACAAATCACTTTACTTTGGACACCAGAATGAGTTTGTGACTTGTCTTTCTGTATCGTGTTTGACAATTTGCCCATGGCCCTGATTCCTGTGGAGCTCGCTCTCCATTGACATTCATGGATCGTCCTGCAACGCAATACGTACGAAGACTCGACGGAAGCGATTCCGGCCCACACAAAGGGATCTTCTCAGGAGGCATGGGCCCTGGCATATTATTCTTATCCTAACCTACGCCACCTTGGATGTGAATGCTCCTCTTCTGTCTCACCGTTAACAAGCCAGGAGTGGCCTTCAGACCGGGAAGGTCAATCTCGAGCAGTGCACGGCTAAGATGCTGATATGCAACGTCATCTCAGTGATAGGAAGATTGCCATTTCCAGGATGTCGACAGGAAGAGCTTACGCCCGATGATGAGGTTGAATGTTCAAGTTCGTGCCACGCGGAGGTACGCTGTCCATGATCCGCCAGAAAGTATAGACAGTGATATCGACTTGGGGGCCATCTTACGCTAGGCCGACTCTGAGGGGTTTCTTCGACCGACCGTATCGGACGATAGTGACATGGAAGTGACAGACATTGACGAGACAACGAATACAATCAATCCCTGGATCTGACGTCTTTGAGGTGGTACCTTGATCGTCTCAGTGACAGTGCTGTCTGAATATCCGCCCGACAAGTGAACCAGGTTTCTTGCTCAATTCAATCAGACCCAGAACATCATCGACAAGGGTTGGATGTCCACATCTCGAGATGCCTTCACTCCAGTCGGGAACCACGGACTGTACCACCATAGGTATACTTGAATGCCCAAGTTGAGATGGAGGCGAAGCAGCGAAGAAGAAGAAGGGCAAAAGAGCAAGCATATGATGCACCCCGTCAATCCGAGGGCTTCGAAATGGCGTCGTACAAGATCTCGAGGTATGCATCAACTCTCCCATGACACAAGTCGAGAAAGAAGTAGCATAACATCTGTCTAACTGGCGGTCGTTGATGCGCAAGATGTATCTGTCATAGGTTGACATTGCGGTAACCTCGCTGCCATTTAGAATTCTGCAGTCCAGATAGAAGGTTGACTGACCAGGACAGATCCAATTAGTACGTCACCCCCATAAACACGTTTTCGTCGACCTGCGATGGTTGCGAGAAGATTGACGGTCATCTCGGCGACAGGTGCCAACCCCCATTGCTCACCTTTTTTAGGAACTCAAGAATGTTCCTAGCATCGCAACACTCATATACGAGCGGAGGAGGATGCACACAGACCATGGAGCGCGCCCTCCCGAGCTGAGGTCCAGATCATCACCGGCATTTCAACCATTCACTCGGAGCACTCGAACGAAGAAAGAGCGTTGGGGCCTTTTTGAGTCCACGTTTCCTGGTGTCCATGCTTTGTTGCTTTGTTGCTTGGTTGCTTGGTTGCTTGCACGGACCTCGAACCCACCAGGCAGGTCCAGACCTCGACCGTGGCTTCGAGACCGACCCAGCCGCTGCCCCCAGATCGCCAATTCCAGCGATACATGGCTCGTGACATGTGATATCTCAGCCGGGTCACACATATGAGAACCTGGACATCGCAATCAGCTAGCTCTACAAAGCTCAGGCCTTGAGAGACAATACCTCCGGCAGTGCTCCGGTCATGAATGTGCAGAGACTGACAACAAATGATGAGTCTTTCTCCACAATTCTTCGACTGAGAAAAATGAGACCCGAGCAGTAGCATGCCCAAAACAGATTACAGGGACATCGGAGAAAAATAGGTCTCCCAAGCAAAGAAGCAAAGGACAAATATCCCGCGTGGAATTCCATCTCCAGCCCCGCGGGTCCAAGCCAACGGTGGTCGATGGTCGAGGCTATGGGACAAGCAGCAGCGTA